ATGTAGCGGTGACCACGAGCTCCGTGCTCTGTGTGTACTTTAAAAATATTTGTATTTCACCTCTTACCATCCACCATTACCATCACGCACTTCATATTTTCTGGTTGGTGCCACTATCTAATATCACCAGCGGGCGATTTTTATCATGAATAATGTGATAGTTGCGGGGAACTTAGTATTAAAAAGTTTAAAGATTTATAAAGACAAGTCTTGCTGGGTCCTTTCAGAATAGGGGATTTTTCCTAACCGGTGACCACAGTTTGGGAAAAATCCACTATTCTATAAGCAAACAAGTAATTTTTTTATGTATTTATTTAATATACCTCTTTTTATATTTTTACATTGTCATTCGAGTCAAAGCCATGTTCAAAATTTCGAGTCTCCACTCTAGGTCATCGGGAAGGTAATAATTAATTCGACCCGAACAGGGCGTACTTACACAAAAGCGATTTAATAAAAACATGTTAAAATGACTTATAATAAGAATTATTTATATTGAATAAATATTATTTTATTCTATTCTATTCTGGGAAGTTTTGGATAGGTATGGATATTCCCATTAGATAGCTATGTAAGGAAACAATTTTATTGAATTTTCCTCCACTGCCGCTACTAAGCGACAAAACATGCATAATTAAGTTAATGTCACCATGTAATTCTGCAACGATCAATAATCTAGACGATAACTAGAAAGTCGCAACCCGACAACGAAAGCAGAACTCTTTTTATTTGTTTGCGTCAAATGCACAAATAATTAGAAACAAACAAACGAAAAATCAATTTACATTACCTGTGTATGCAGCAATGTCATGGTTGAAGCATGAATGGGTCGGCTCGATCGGAGAATGACCTCGCTTTCATAGAATACCGGTGTAAAATAACAGCGGTTTCGCATGGTAAATGTATAAATGTATAATAAACCTTCAAAGGGAATTGAGGCATTCTATTTTCGACCACGGGGGTGACAACGTATCTGCATTTTCTTTAAGTTTAAGTTTAAACGTTACCCCCACACTAGGATTTTCTCCTGTATCGTGGAGGCAGTTTACAAACACAAATTGCACAAGGACAAACATCCAAACCGGGAACAATTATTTGTGAGCCATACAAATACTTGTTCCGTGCGGGATTCGAACCCGCGGCCCCCAGCGCGGCAACTCATTGCTAAGCCTGTGCGCCACGGAGCCGTCAATTCGATTATTAATCAACCATAGATGTAGATGTCCACGGGCCACATCATACACTTACCATCGGGTGGATTATGTGCTCGTTTGTCACCCTAATCTATAAAACAAATAACCTATAGAATGATATTAGTAGATTTAGTTTTAATCTTGTTGTACAAAGGCCATATAAAAAAGGAAAATATAGAGAACTACTCATAGTGGTCGATGGTAGAGGTAGCCATGTTGCAGTTGTAGTACGAGTATGTCTGCAGGATGAACGGGACAGCTTGATTGGTGGAGTACCATGCTTGCACAAAATGATTGACATTTTCGTGAAATAGACAGGAGCAGAAATTTGCTCTGTTTCTTATGGTGAGACAAGAGAACCTTTTTACTGATTACCAGGCATTCTGTTTTAGTCCTCAGGGTTGTTAACCATTTGCATTTTGATTCTTTTTAGAGCATAGATGTAGATGTACGTGGACCTCCACCGATCAGCACGGCTAGCATGGGTTAGGGACAAAAATTCCCCCGATTATATCCACTGACAAGAGATAAAATTATCTTGTCCTTATGCCAAAGCACGGCAACGGGGCGAAGTATGTCCCCGTTTGACGTAACGAGTAGACATATATCCCCCGTCCGTAGCATGGAGCCAAATGAAAGATAAAAAAATATGCTTTTTTCACATTTGAAAGGGACAATTTCATCCTAGTTCATTGGACGTGGGTTTAAGCTTATATTCACACAAAAATCTATCTAAGTCTATCTCCCATTTTAACTCAAGTCCCATTAAAGATTTTAAAAATTATTTAGCCAAGATCCGCGTGATACAGTGACGCGTAATTAAAGATGTTAAAAATTAATTCGCCTAGGAAAACACGTGTCGTATTTTCGTCACGTGTGTCTATCCTAGTGTAGTGGTGTTGGGAGTAGTGGTACTGGGATTAGTGGTGACGGGACTAGTGCAAACAATTGTGGGAGGGCGGGAGGTGCTCTTCATATTAGGCGAGACACATCATTTTATTTTATTACGCGGATCCTAACTAATAAATTTTTAAAATCTTTCATTTATGTATCTTTCTTTTATATATAATACTAGCTGGCCAGGCAGACGTTGTTCTGCCCTCTCCGACGGACCTGTGTCTTATAACAATTCTTAAATTCGTAATAAAAAACATTGAGGGTCACTAAAAACTATCCTATCTCTCAAGTTGGACCAAACTGAACACAGTGTGCAAAATTTCATCGAAATCAGTTCAATAGTTTAGGAGTTCATCGCGGACAAACAATGTGATTATGTGACACGTAATTTTTATATATAAAGATTATGGATTTCAGAAAATAACGCCTGATTCTATCTATTCTATGCAAATAAATAAAATTGAAGCGATGTTGACGGGACTTTCACTTGTAGATAGCTGATTTTATACGTTGTAACCTTAGCTACTTTGTTTTTAGAAAAACAATTAGGGTTTCCCGCAAAAAAATGAAAACCCATGTAATCTAATCGTAATAAATTCCACGCGCACGAAATCGCAGAGAACAGCTAGTTAATTATAAGTCCTATTTTTATGTAGCCACCGTGCACCAAGGCGAAAATGATGTAATCTCCAGAACGCATAATGTAGTCACGTACACTGCAGTCTTGGTAAATTACGTTTGTCGAAGTCTGGATCGATATTTGTGAAGTTTGACGAAAATAACATAATAATATGTAACATTGTCCTTATTGACGTACCGGCAACAATGATTTAACACGAGGAAAAAACAATATTGCTGTGAAATACACAATTCCACTTAAAGTAACGTGGGCATTTATATTATGTGGTAGAGCGACGTTTCAGCTATATTATGGTTGTAGCACGATTGGGTCCACTCGACCAGGGTAGAGGACCACGCTCTCCCAAAATACCAGCATGAAATAGCAGCCTAATGCTGCTGTATTTCGTATGGTGAGTGTAGAGAACCGGAGACCCTTTTAACTGGATACGAGGCATTCCATCTTAGTCCTCACGGGTGATAACGCATCTGCATTTTGATTATTAATTGAGGATAAATGCAGATGTGTATGCGCTACTGCATTCACTTACCATCAGGTGCTCTGTTTGTTCGTTGTCACTCTTGTTCCATAAAAATATGGCTCTCACGTTAAAGGGAGGATTTGCTATATAACCTCACTTAATAAGCGTATTGAAGACTAACTTTGCCGGAAGTCTCGCATCACTGCTGTTTCGGTGTCCACATCGTAAGGAAGATGAAGACTGAAAAGTTGATTATGTTAGTACGAGAAAGGTGTTTTATATATGATGTAAAAAATGATGATTATAAAAAACGAGAAAAAGTAGAAAGAAGCATGGTTAGAAATTGACAGAGAAATGGGGGCCGAAAATTAATTATAAAACATTTTTTCAGTAAGTCATTTACAAAACAGTCTATGAAATTCTCCATCTTGTTTTCTATTGTTATTTACTGGGCTCACCCAATGTTTCCTTTTCCGCTTTGATACTAATGTCCACAATATCAATAATTCGTCTTCCGATGAAAGAACTATAGTCAAATACATGGTGACTATAGTGGCACCGCGTTGACCGTCCAATTCGTGAGCAACTGAACGCTCGAACGCAGAACGCGAACGTAGAACGCTTGAACGCGTAACCGCTTCCTGTCTGATAGAACCCTAAAGTTCAATTTTGATATGAAAAACACCAATTAAGAGATCATCGTCATCATTACGGCCCATCAAAGTCCACTGGTGTTGCTTTTCCCATAGTTGCCATGCTAACAGATTTAGTTTTAGTTACGAGTTATATATCATTGTCATCATGTCTTTGAAATTAACTTTCAATATTATTTTTTTAAATAATGATTTATGATATAATTAATTATTGAGTACAGACTCATTCAGTGGGTGTCATGAGAGACAACAAAGGGAAATGAAACATTAGATAGTCAGAAAGGTGCTGCTGATAATAAATTTGAAGTAACGCAGTTTTTAATGTATATTTCACCAACGTGTAGACGACCGAAAATTGACCATTGAAAATTGGCATTCGTATCGAAGACAATACAATAATCTGCCGACTTCCAAAAACGAGACGGTACTCAATTCGACTGTATGTTTTTTTATGTGTGTTACCTCATAACTTTTTACTGGGTGGACTGATTATGACGATTCTTTTTTTAAATGAAAGCTGATACTTCTCGTGTGGTCCCATATGAATTTGATCAAGGTCAGACCAATAGTTTTTGAGTTATTCTTAATAACTTATGAAGTCGGCTGTACAAAAATTTAAATTTTAAATGATTTAATAACTTTAACCTAGTATCCTGATTCAGATCAGGATCAACAGGATAAAATAAAATAATTTTATCTTTAGCTTGTTTCTTTAGTTTGTTTTTTAACTGTAATTTATTTTTATTTCTTTATGGCGATGACGTCACGTCGACGATTTTATGTACTTGCCGCCTATGAACTTAACTACTGCTACTTCTAAAGTTGTAGTTGTTTGTGCGCGTTTTTTAACCCCCGACGCAAAAAGAGGAGGTGTTATAAGTTTGACCGCTATGTGTGTCTGTCTGTCTGTCTGTCTGTCTGTGTGGGGCACCGTAGCTCTTAAACGGGTGAACCGATTTGGGTGCGCTTCTCAGATATGTTTTATCAAAATCGGTTCAGCCGTTTGAAGGTCATGCTTTTTTCGGGGGTTTTTTAAAATTCGAATTTGAGTTATCGGTTCAGTATTCGACTTTTGAAAGATTTTCTACGTAATTTATATAGAAATAAAATTCTACGCAATTCTTCTTATATGTTGATTTTCTGTGTCGTTTATATAGAAAATGGGCGGCAACTACGCGGGGCTGCCGCCAATGGACTGGTCGCAGTACGACACGTTCCCCGGGGACTTCGAGAAGTGTTCGCTGTGGACCGCCGCGCTCGCGCACCTCGGCCTCTACCTGCTCATGTTCCTCGGCTTCATCAACAAGCTGCTGTTCACGCCCAAAGTTGCCACCGAGCGGAACCGAGAGGTACGCACGTTGCGTTTTTTAATTTTTTTTAATTAAAAAAATAAACATTATAAACGACCACAGAGACCACTATGTGGATGCTGTGACCCATAGCCATCTACATTAATCCACGTAGTTTAATAAAAATTTTGAACTTGGTGGAGGTCAAATTTTGTATATTCATGAATAGCACGTAATAGAACCATGCTGCAGCTATATTATGATTGTAGCATGAATGGGTCAGCTCGAACGGGGAAGAACCACGCTCTCACAGAATACCAGCGTAAAATAGAAGCTCAATGGTGCTGTGTTTCGTATGCTGAGTGTAGAAATCGGTGACCTTTTTTATTGGATAGGAAGCATTTCATCTTAGACCTCAAGGGTGAATTCGCACCTGCATTTGGATTCTTAATTAAAGACAGATGTAGGTGTCTATAGGCTACTGTATCCACTTATCATCACCTGGACTGTGTGCTCGTTTGTCACTCTTATCCTATAAAAAATCCGAGAAGAGAGAGAGAAAAGAGGGTAATGTTTTCGAGAGTATATAAGTATGTATATGTATGTATGTCATTTTCTTTGGAACGCCTTGTAGCCTTAACGTTTTGATGGATTTTAACATATGGGTGTCGTTAGATTCGTATTAATTGTGGATGTGACATCAATTGTAAAAAACATCTCTTTTCAGTATATCTTTTACTTAGTCCTGTTTTTGAAATTACTGTTTTAATCTTTAAGCTTGTCAGCTGTTAGTGGTAGTGATACGAAACCAAACTGTGACTACTGTGAAAGTTTCGGAACTCTGAAGGAATTTGTGTGACGTTGTTTATTAGCGTTAAATAAAATATCTCGACCGAAGTGACCTCAGTCCGATGAAATAACACGTGCAGCAAAGATAATAACAATTAACAATACTATACGAGCGTGAGTCTTATCAGATAAAGTGGGATACCGTTGTTTCCTGAAACATTTAATGGCTTATGTAATACTAATAATTAATAAACTATAAACTTACCTTAACATAGGCCTCCCTCAAACAATGTCACTAAGCACGGTCCTCCTGCATCCGTCAACTTCTTGCATCTCTTACCAGGTCAGCTAGTCTCGGTTTTCTACAGTATGCATTTCGGAGTGTTTTTTTTGTGGGATAAGGGTGACAAACGAGCACACAGTCCACCTGATGGTAAGTTGTTGCTGCGGCCCATAGACATCTACATCTATCCTCTGTTACAAATCAAAATGTAGATGCGTTGTCACCCGTGAGGACTAAGATTGAATGCCTCATTTCCAGTAAAAAGGGCCTCCGGCCACCTACACTCACCAAGCAAAACGCAGAGGTAAACCTCTACTTCACGCGGGTTTTCTGTGAGGTCGTGGTACTACCCCGGTTCGAGCCGGCCCATCCGTGCGACAGCAAAAGCTGCCGCGTGGCTCTACCACTGTTAAAAATTACTGTGCGCGGGAATTGCCTAACTTAATTCATCCCTCTCCCTTCCACCATCGGCCAATGAGACGTTCGGCTAGCCTCCACCTTTTCGTTGTTGTTACCACGCATTCGAACAAAGATTTTATACATCGTACAGCAAAAGAGTGGAATAAGTTGCCAGCATCTGTCTTTCCATCGGATTACTATGTGAGTCTTTAACCTAAGAGTGATTAGGATTTTAAGTCAGTGCGCATCACCATCTTCAACTGCATCACCACTTACCATCAGGTGGAGTGGTAGTTTAGCGCTGACTTAGAATATTAAAAAAAAATGTAAGCTTGTCTAATGGGAATATAATGGGTACAAGTGCATCATCTTGTCGCTGCATTACCTTCTGTATAATGAGAAGAGGTTCGTTTCGAGCCGTGGGTCGTTTTAAAGCTGTAATAGCTTTTTCCTCATGAGTGGCGGCATAGTTGCCAAGTTTGGCAAGCGGGTGATACAGCTTTCAATGGTTAACACAAAATTGTACCGCTACCTAGGCACTTTTTGAATACACGATAAATTATCATTTGACTGACGATAATGTTTAGTTTATCTTACGTTACAAGGATATCTTATATATATCGAAATATCGATTACCACCAGCGGTTTCTCCGAACCAATAATGAAGGGCTCTTCATAATAAGAGTCTACTCTTTTTCAAAATGCCGGCAGCCCACCTGATATTCCCCTGGTATTGTAGTTGTCCATGGTAGGCGGTAGTCACTTACCATCAAGTAAGCCATCAAAAATTTCATTGTCTGTGACTATTTTCATTTGTTTTTACAATTATATTATCGAGTTTTGGCGGGAACTTGACCGTGGACGGGTTGTTGCTCCTGTTTTATAGTTTAAATAATAGTTTGAAGTGGGTTTTGATGCGTAAAAGTGATGTTATTTTGTGTATTAAGTATCTGCGCGTGTGAACTATTAGTGAAAACGTCGAAACAAATGTTTCGATGTGGATATACGAGTACCTCAAGTTATTTTGTTCACGGAGGTGCCTTAAGAACTTGTGTTACTATCGTCATTGACTATCCGCTTAGTTGAACTGTCGTCAAAATCCCACAAAAACTGTAATTTGACGCATCCGCATTTTGTGTAGAAAATAACATAATAATATTATATTGCATCATTTCTTGTTACTTGACACTGGCAAATGTATTACTGGAGCCGTGGCTGCTCAAGCCGCAACTCTCTCGTTTAAATTTCAAAGTACGCGAGCGAAAGCGAGTTTGATCCCCGACGGTACCTTCAGTTAAAAAAGTTAAGTTCCCGCCTATTTACGTTCCACTTCTAGGCACAGTTCTTCGCTCATTTATGAGAGGGTTTTAATGCAGGGAAGTATTAATCGCGCAGATCCAATGCGTGTTTATAGACATCACTCACTTCACATGCCTTTGAACTATATCTTTTTTAATATCTCGGACATGCAAGTGCAGATTTACCACGTACTCGGCGGTGAAGGAAAACATAGCGTGGAATGATTTAGAAAATATTTGTCTAATTAAAAATGTTTCTAAACATGCGTAGTTTGCCAACATGCATGCGCGGCGAACTCTTCTCTCGTCTGCTACCTAAAACCCTCTGAGGAATGATAAGAGTCTGTGCTCAGCTACGTACCATCATCGTACTATCATCCAATGTCTTCTATTTTAATATAGGCCTCTCCCAAGATGTGGCACTTAGCCTGGTCTTCATCTCCATGCATCCATTTGCTTCTAGTCGCCTTGCGGCATACCTTCGTAATATCTAGCCAGGTGGCATTCCACATCTCGTCTACCTAAGTGCGTGCTGTCTTTATTCTATGACACGTCTACTGCAGCGGTTATTGCTGCCGTAACAGACGAGGTTAGCCAAATTCCACTTCAGTTTGTAACACAAGACTATGTCAATGACCTTGGTACTGTAGCGGATTTCTTTATTACATAGTTTTTTCCATCACTTACTGTAGTCGTACCTTTTATGTCTGTGTTTTTTCGCACCATTATGTGGCTTATGTACAGGCAAAGGCGAAAATAGCCTAAGCTAAAAGCTGAAGGGTTAAGAATACAATCCGCGAAACTGAAGAAAGTGCTGGGACGAATCCGGCATTCTTTAAAAAAATCTTAATTACTGGCCAATATTTTAGCTAAACTAAGTTTGTGCTTGATTCGCGGCGACAAGGTAATTTTAAGTAAGCACTTTGGCTTTCATATCAAAACTATACAATGGTAGTCAGTTGCCGATTGTTTTTTGTCATATTTGTAATGCACGTGTTATATGACAAAAACGGCTCGCTTCCGGCCGGTGAACGATTGCTCTGATATTACTTCCTATATTTTTATTTACCCATACATATCATTTTATATTTATTTTGGAGCGACATAGTTTTTCTCCTGAAGGTAGGACATCATAGTCGTATTGCTTTTTAGCTCGGTTAACACCAGGAACAAACGCAAGCTAATGATACCAGTTTATTTTTTTATAGAATAAGTGTGACAAACGAGCACACAGTCCACATGATGGTAAATGGTTTCTGTGGCCCATAGACATCTGCATCTATCTTCCTTTGCGAATTAAAATACAGATGCGTTGTCAGCCGTGAAGATTAAGATAGAATGCCATATTTCCAGTAATAAGGGTCTCCGGTTCTCTACACGACTCCACAGAGTTAGCAATTCATTCATGGAGCAATGTATACGCTTTTATAACAAACTACTGGAAAATATACAAGGTATATTTATACAAGGCTATTGCTAAGTTAAACATTTTACATAGAATTTATAAAAAATATTATTATAATATAGGTAGGTACATGACCACATAGTTGGCAATAACTCCTGGGAATGAGGTGATTGCTTCCTAGCTGTTTTAAGTGAGTTTTGTAAATAATTGTAAAACCTACTGTTTAATGTGGTAAAAAGTTACGTCGGGTTTCTTGTTGGTCTTTCCCAGGATAAATGTATTATTCCGAACCAGCGCTAAAATTAACTAATTACTCAATAAGTATAATATTTATAAGCTATATTGTTTAAAAAGTTATTCCATTCTGTTCTATTCCAATCTATTGTATTCTTGTAGCGGCTATTGTGGACGTGATTGAGGACGTCGCAGGATCGCACGCTTGTATATTTTTGGTACTCTCTGGTAAACTTAACCGACTTCCTAGTTAGAAGATGTAGTCAACTTAGATTCTTAGACGTTTTTATCGATCGTTCACGCAGTGGTTAACCGTTTGGCTTCAAGACCAACTGTCAATGTTGAAAGAGAGTCGTTCTCGGAATATCACCTCTCCGGGACACTGGGGTTATTGATTTAGGTTAAGAAGTCCACCACAGGTGTACATTTCTTGTAATTGAAGCTGCCAGATTCGAAGATTACTGTGTTCACCACCCGTGGTCTTCAAATCTATTTTTATCTTTATATGTATGTATAATTCTTCTGTCCTTCTGTATGTGACTGAACTCTACCGAAACGGCTGGACCAATTTTGATAAAATTTTGTGTATGTTTAAGTTGATTCGAGAATGGTTTAGATTCACAATTGGACCCGATAGGTAGTGCTGTTGTCG